AATTTCGATGTATTATTTAATTATTACCAATATCATTATTTAGAGGTTTTGACATCAAATGTTTAGTCATTTGATATGCTTAGTATTTACTAGTGATCAAATAACTGGAAAAAAAGTTTCTGGAGACTATGTTTAATTCATTAGTTATTTAATCGTACTTATACGACTTACATTGTTCCTTATTGACATCAAATGCTTGGTCATTTGTTTTGTTCAATGTTTACTAGATCCACTTTAATCCAATTAATTAATGAAAAAGTATGTTTATTTCTGCAGATCATGTTGAATTAATTAGTTATGTAATATTAGTTCGCAATATCATGACTTACATATTTCCTATCAGTATTTGGACATTTGATATGCAAGATCCAATTAAATCAAAATAAATAAATGAAAAATTATTTCCACAGATTATGTTGAATTAATTACAATTGTGCTATTTATATACCTTAATATCTTAATCCACACATAATTTTGTCTTTGTTTACAATTTTTGAAAGTCATCTTCAAAAAGGTTTTTATAAGTCCACTCAAGTCAAAGCTAAACTAAAATATATATATAATTAAGTACGTGAATTAGTAATTAGTAATCAGCACAAGGAAGCTCGGTTCTTTGCAAGTTGTTTTAAGTTTTTTGTATTATTATTTTATCTCCCTGAGACTTCAAAACACAGAGCAATTTCACTGGAATGGTCCAATTAAAAAGCACAATTTCTTCTTAAGCAGACCGGGCAGGTAATTATGGTAATTTTTAATTAAATATTTATTTGAACAATCAGAACTGTAAAGCTGGTGTCGATGGGTGGGATAAGACCTGATATAGTCACTGTCATCAAAAGAGTGACCTTTTGTTGCAATCGTGAAATTATGTTCACTCTCTCTTCTTATCTATTCTATATTTTTTCTTTCATTTTCTTACCCTCATGCCAATTACTAATTACCCCCCCTAATACCCACCCACCACATCAAACACTGAGGGGAGCTTTGACAAATACAGGGCAACCACAAGCATTTACAAGACTCATTATGTTTAAATATTGCCAGAACAGCGAAGGTGGCCCAGCATGGCCCAATCTCTCCTCAAGAAAGAGCACATTTTTGCTGTTGCCTTGACAACAATATTTTTTTGACAACATCAGGTAAGCCTAGTTTAAGAGGACCTAAAAGTTTTGTTAAGGGAATTTCCAAATGCAGTCATTTCCCAGCAGGTCTGAAACGCATGAAATCAAAGCCCTGTAGCACAGTGGCAGATGTTCATTTCAACAGGGGATGATTCAAATCTTTTTGCTTGTGAGAGAATCATGAATGATTAACAAATGCAGTCAGGGACAATTCCAGTGTCTCTTGATGACTGTGAGCATTAACGAAAACAGAGGAAATTGCCGAAATCTGGCTGTGTTTGCTGAACACTACAAGCCACAGCAGATACGTTTTCTTCTGGAAAACTCCATCCCTAAATATTTGGGCTACAGACATAATCGATAAAATGACAGCAAAATAGACAAGAAATCCCACAGGATTGCACTGAAAATGGGCACAAAATACACACAGTGATCTGAATAGCGACAACAAAAAACACCCTCACAACCCCTATAGCAATGCCATATTGACTATATAGAACCAATGTTGTTATCATACTATAATACTAACACTGAAGATATTTAAAAAAAATTGGTAATTAAAATATAGCTAAAAAAGCAAAAATAAATTTGAATTAAATGTTAAACTAAATTAGAACTGAAACAGTTTGCAGTAATTAATAAATGGAATTAAACTAATACTGAAATAAAAGTACCTGGTTGTATATGAGCAATATCACTCGAGTACGAGAGCGATACCGGCTCTAAGTTTTTCTTTTTTAATAAATCTGCAAAAATGTCAACAATTCTGTGTTTTTCTGTCAATATGGGGTGCTGTTTGTACATTAATGAGGAAAAAAAATTAACTTAAATGATTTTAGCAAATGGCTGCAATATAACAAAGAGTGAAAAATTTAAGGGGGTCTGAATACTTTCCGTACCCACTGTATATATATATATATATATGTATATATACATACACAGTATATATATTAGGGTTGTGCAAATGAGTAGATTAGTAGTAAATCTCCAGCACGTGCGTTCAGATGGAGCGGCATTTACTACACAGAGCCATAGATCACTGACAAGCTACGCAAAATCGCGTTCATAATCGGCAAAGAATCGCCCGCGATTTTGCGTAGCTTGTCAGTGATCTACAGCTCTGTGTAAGTGCCGCTCCATCTGAACACATGTGCTGGAGAATCGCAAGTCCAAACTCTTTAGTGGCTTTGTAAACTTTTCTAGCCTGATGAACAACATCAACTCTTTTTCTGAGGTCCTCAGAGATCTCATTTGTTTGTGCCATGATACACTTCCACAAACATGACCAAACTTTGATAGATCCCTGTTCTTTAAATAAAACAGGGCACACCCAGGCACCTGCTAATCATCTCACTGATTAAAAACACCTCTGAACAGATGGACTCTAATTTCACCTTCAAATTAACAGCTAATCCTAGAGAGTCACATACTTTTGCTGCTCACAGAAATGTAATATTGGATCATTTTCCTGAATAAATAAATGACAAAGTATATATTTTCATCTCATTTGTTTGATTGGGTTCTCTTTGTCTACTTTCATGACTGAAAAAACTGTGACATTTTGATTATGCTTTGAGTCATATTTATGCAAAAATATAGAAAATTATAAAGGGTTCACAAACTTTCTAGCAGCACTGTATATACTATATACATATATTTCAGTCTAATAAAGAAGAATTAATACACAGATACAGTATTCAGAACAGTTTAATTTGAAGAAAAGTTGAAATACTGTTAAACACTGTGGTGACATTGTTATTCTGTAAGTGTTCTCTGGAGCAAACAGGTGACAGACTGCTTCTCGCAACATCTAGCTAATGCAAAGATCAGTCGTGTTTTTCCGTGTGTGTATGTGTGTGTGGGTGGATGCCTGTGTGCAATTAGATCTAATGAGCCTTGCATTTCACTGACCTCTGTCACAATCTTGACACTTAGTGTTTGATTAAGTGGCCCGCAGAAATGAACTGGGAGCTTGGGACGTTCATAGTTTAGAAAGCATTTCAGATGGATGAAAACTTCCAGTTGTCCTCTAGCAAATGGCACAATGACACTTTACACAGCAATGCTTGAACAAAAACTTGAACTGCAGAGGCCGCAGGCTTGAAAGGTCTGTACAAAACATTTTCAAGTCTAAGTTCTATAATTCAGCCACACAGACTACATGAAAATACATGCTGTATAAAGATTCCCAGCACATAAAATACAGTTCACACAAAATGGCATTGTTTCAGAATCCTCCAAATGCAGAAATGTAAATGTAAGGCATGTGAAAATACATATGTGAACTGCTCAATGATAAAGAGTGGTTATGACCCACACACTTTGAGTTTTATGCACGGATTAAAAAAGTATCCGCTTTCTAAAGATATATGTATTAAGTTTCCAAAATGTTGAGATATTATAATTCAAACAGTGGAAGATTGCATATAATATTTTGTTGTTGTTATTGACAAAATTGTGAGATATATTCAAATAAACAAAATAATTCAGACACGACAGGCTAAAAATTATGTTATTATTATATGTTATATTATTATAATATGTTATATTATTAATAATAATACTGTTTTAGCACTTTATGCTCTCTTTTTTTTTTCTGGCTAGGCTAACAAATGAACTATAGAAATTGAATGAGCTTCCTGAGATAAATACAAGGTGTGTTTACAAGCTATTTTAATGACATCCATTGACTGATGTTTGTTGTAATACAACTGATTTGAATTTTGAGCCTTTGTTTTATCAAAAATAACTATATTATACACTATATTATACATGCATACCTACACACACACATATATATACACACACACACATACCGTGTATATGTATACACTATACAAATAAACTTGAATTGAACTGAATATAATATAGTATATAATATAGTTACAGTATGTATGTATGTATATACAGGTGCATCTCAATGAATTAGAATGTCATGGAAAAGTTCATTTATTTCAGTAATTCAACTCAAATTGTGAAACTCGTGTATTAAATAAATTCAATGCACACAGACTGAAGTAGTTTAAGTCTTTGGTTCTTTTAACTGTGATGATTTTGGCTCACATTTAACAAAAACCCACCAATTCACTATCTCAACAAATTAGAATACTTCATAAGACCAATAAAAAAAAACATTTTTAGTGAATTGTTGGCCTTCTGGAAAGTATGTTCATTTACTGTACATGTACTCAATACTTGGTAGGGGCTCCTTTTGCTTTAATTACTGCCTCAATTCGGCATGGCATGGAGGTGATCAGTTTGTGGCACTGCTGAGGTGGTATGGAAGCCCAGGATTCTTTGACAGTGGCCTTCAGCTCATCTGCATTTTTTGGTCTCTTGTTTCTCATTTTCCTCTTGACAAGGTTCAGGTCTGGTGAGTTTGCTGGCCAGTCAAGCACACCAACACCATGGTCATTTAACCAACTTTTGGTGCTTTTGGCAGTGTGGGCAGGTGCCAAATCCTGCTGGAAAATGAAATCAGCATCTTCAAAAAGCTGGTCAGCAGAAGGAAGCATGAAGTGCTCCAAAATTTCTTGGTAAACGGGTGCTATATATATATATGCGTATGTATGTATGTGTGTGTGTGTCTGTGTGTCTGTGTGTGTATCAAAATGAAACAAAATGATAGAGTGCATTACATATACTTAAAGCAACAGTTCGCCCCAAAAGGCATTTAAACATTAAAAGTACATTTAATGTTTGAATTTCATAATACAATTGACATAACTGGCATAACTTGTTTGGAATGATGGCAAAATTTTCATTTTGGGGACTACTATTCCTTTAAGCAAGAACTAGAACTAGAACATTCTAGTGTCATGAGAAAGAGAGAGAGAGAGAGAGACCACAAACCTGTTGTGTTTTGATTGAATCAGAAGGAGGCTGCAGGAACTGGCAGCCAAATTGCGTGTGTCGGAGAGAGATAACATTGCTGCGAGTGCAGCCCCTTTCAGCTCCTCTCCTGGAGTAAAAAGCAGTTACTGACTGTCTACACCCCACGATGAAAGCCTATAGAGACTGAGTCACCCTTAAAGAAAAGACGAACACGATACCTCTTTCAAGCACTCTGCAGACATCTGGAGAGGGGCGACAACGTATGAAGTGTCCCGACACAAAGAGAGAGACATCTGTCTACAGGAAGAAACACAAGCTGAGATGATAGACCTGTGGTTTATTAAACATGGATTCATGGCTTAATGGCAAAAGCCTGTTAAATGAGAGGAATGAACCAATGCAAAGCAAAACACTGAACAAAAAGGCACAGAAATGAAGCTACTCACAAAGTCTTTTATAAAGGTGTTGTTGCTAATAAACAATTACTTGTAATATATGCAGACAGTCTTTGAAGTGGCGATGCTTGGCCACTTTAAAGCATCTAGTTTATTTTTAGCACTGCTCTGCACTGGAATATTGCAAATTGAATTTGACACTGAATGTAAGATGGATAACTAAATACGAACTGTGACTGTAAACATTGTTTAGCTTCCTCATCTACCTGTTTTGATTCACAGTGCTGAAAAAAAATGAAATGCATCAATATCTGAGGTCTGTGACAGCAGAGGAAGAATCTAAAGTTGATAATATTCAAATAATAAAACAGAACGATCAGTTCCACACAAAAAATGAAATGTTTTCTATATTTCTCACGCTCTCTCACACTGCCTGTCTGTTTTTGTTATTCTCCTTCTCCTTGTCACTATTGCTTTTGCCTCCCTCTCATTTTTCCTCTCTCATCATCTTCCATCCCTCTGTTCCCAGCAAGCAATAGCCGTCATTTCAATGTCTCGGTTAAGTATAGACCTGATATAGTCCGGCTATGTGTAACCCACTTCTAGCCCAAATAACCTTGAATTTGGTTTCATGTCGTTTTTTGGCAAAATTACTTGTGAGATGTATGATATTCCATCATGTAAGCAAAGTCAATGGCGTTTACAAGGTGTTTGGTTTCATTTCTTTGACATGTTCAATACGTAGCCTGAGCGTAGCCACGATTTAGCTCGTAGTCCGAGCGGCTATCTGTAGCCCACTTATAGTCAAACCTGATTCACTGTAGTTTTTGGCCAGACAGCGCATGAGATGGTTGATATCCCATCATGTTCACAGTGTCAATAATATCTAAAGATATAAGTGTCATTTCATGAACAAAAGGGTTCATCTTTTTTTATGTTGTCATTTATCCGTAATGTTTTAATGTTAAGTGTGATACCATGCTCTTGATTTGTATTAGATTTTTTTCTTCTTTTAAATATCTTAAGTTATTTAAAATATTTTTTTTCATTTTTATATTTTTATTATCTTAAGTTGTTAAGTTGTTGTAATTTTTTTATCATAATATTTATATTTAAGTGTATTGTATTTATAACATTTTATTTTGTCATTAATTCTTTTGTATTTTTATAATTTTGTATTGTCTTAAGTTGTCCAAGTTGTTAAAAATGTTATTTTTCTTAATAAAAGCTGTATGTATGGATTGCCATTTTGTTGTCTATTAGATGTATATATGTAGTCGTTTAATAGCCGTCTAATTGATGACTAGTCTATGCTTGGGCTATGGTTAGATGTCTATTAGATTTTCACTGACAGCCCAAATTCAGCCTTATTTTAGCCTAGACGCATATTCACCGTCTATTAGACGTATATATGTACCCAAATTTAGCCTCGTTTTAGCCTAGACGTCTAGGCTATATTTAGACGTCTAATAGACGTCTTTTAAACGCAAAATTGCTTGCTGGGTTGACTGCCATACATATTTATAATGCATCAAACCTTAAAGAACATGCAGTCTCTTCGCTCACAAACTCTGTGTTTGTGTGCACATGTATAATGCGCAAGTTGTCATTCTGCTTCTGTACATAATGGTACTGAACATGTGATGGCAGCTAAACTCTCCAGTAATATCAATGAAATGACTATCATATATGTTTAATCTCTGAGGTTCGTGAGCAGGCACTGTTCATATTCGATCACAACAGCTGAGTTTCTAAGAGATGAATTATTGTTTACTTTGTTCCTCTACCTTTCATCCCTTTGTATGTGGATCTCTGTAGTTCCTCTGTGGTTTCATAAGAATCCACAGCCTTTATAGTATGCCAACAGAAGTTTTGCATCTATCAAGTTAACAAAGAAATTCACATTTACTCAAAGTTTTTTTTTTTTTCATGAATATACAAGAATTCATTAATCTGATCAATCGTCAAATATTTTGTATCAAATATTTTGTGTAATCATTGGTATTTGACAGTTGTTCTTGAAAACAGTTGTTTATCTCCTACAATGTGCTAGTTTCTTGAAGTATGTACTGTCTCATTTCAAAATGAAAAAACTTCATGTATATTTTAATTTAATATTTAATTTGGTATTTAATTTAATTTAATTATGTAGCTAGACAATATAATAATGCAGTCAGTTGAGCATCACTGCAAAATATATGATCATTTTGTCTGGGTTTATTGTGCAATACTGGCCATTATTCCTTATTATCTAGTAAGTTCATCCTCAAAAAGGTTTGAACTATGAATATAAAAAATATATATTCCATACAGGGCATAGCCAAACACTATGCAATATGCTTGACGCTGAGTTTGAAAACAACTAACATTACCATTGCCTAAAGCAAACATACAGTGTGAAAACATACAGGACCTGATTGAAATGCCCATTGCCGAAGGGAATCTGCATGGAACTTGTGTAGGCTCCCTACATAGGTAATATTCTGATCTCTGGCCCTCAAATCAATGAGGGTTAGAGATTTGCATTTAACCTGCATATAATTATACAGTCAAGAGCTCTATTTGATAGTGTGCTTATAAGATCCAAGATTCATAAATGCTGTGCACAACTATGGCAAAAGTAAGAGAGTTTATTTCATGATAATACCTGCCTTTCTGAAAACTCAGATACTAAAACAAGATCACTCACTTCAGTCCAGTTGTTTTTCTACGCCATTTAAAAAAGCATATATGGTTGAAACTGGCTGTGTTTTTATACTACTCTTTCATCTTAAAAGATCAAGGAAAATGTGATTGCTCGTGATATGACCCCATTAAGTTCAGCAAACACAAAGTGCATTGCAACAGAGTAGTCTGCGTTTCTTTCGAGATGTATAATCCAGTTTCCATTAGTGATCCTCCACTAAAAGCCATCGCTCAAGTGCCGAAATTGGACGTCGTTACACAATGCCTCTCTATTCGACACATTATTCATAGTCCTTATTTAATCCTTTATGAATCTTTTATGAGTCTTGTGTAATGCCCAGAGGCAAACTGATTGTCAAGCATTTTCTCTTTTGCTGTCATCAGCCATTGTTATTGAAAGCTGCCTGAACATGATTTTAAAGGCAAAATGAAATTATATAGAAGGAAAACAATAATTTGAAGGACTGAATTGTTCAAAATAAGAAAGTTGCCCAAGTTGTGTAAATACTTGAACACATACATGGATTTTTTTATTGATAGGGTTAGTATAGAAAGAACAGGATCATATTTGAAAGTCCTCTGCATCACCTATAGAGTTTTATTAATGATTTCTGAGGATGAGAACATATCATTTCTACCATGTTAATGTGTGCCACGAGGAGGATGCTTTTTTCAGCAATAAAATACACAAAGTAAGCTTTGCTTTGCTATCCTAACTGTTGAACATATTGTTAAATTTAGTTCGATTAATTAAAAGGAGCAATTGTATGTGCCTCTGTTTGCTCTTCTCTAGTGCCTCCCTCTCCCTCTGTGTGCAATAATGATGATGTCTCTCTGATTCTCACAAGTGCCTTCTCTTTTCCTGTGCTTTTGATCTGCGGTTTCATAGGTCAGGAGGCATGCTAAGAAATCTCAGTTGCAGTGAGGGTCATTTGTCAGACACCAGAGAACATGTGCTCATTACCACAGAACTTCACAGGGACGTGACCCCTAGTGCCTTCCAATGTTTGCCCGAGAGTATACCAGATATATACTGAAAGCAAGTGCTCCACAACTACGATACCTCAAAATGAGCTGAGTGTGAAGACATAGGTATATTTTGAAAGCTCAGTGCAGCATATGCACAGATTAAGAAAGATTTAATTACATTTTTTCAAAATTTAAATTCACTGCTCAATGATCCAGTCATAACGATTGGCAGCTCACTGCATGAAGGAAAAGATTATAGGTGAACAGTGTTGTACATTTTGGTCTGTTTCTCCCACAAATTGCTGAATGGTTTCAGAAGACTTGGAATAGCTCATTAGCTGCCAATGTTCCAATACTTATGGATTTTGAGTTTCAGAGATACACTTGAATAGTCTCTGAAAACCAGAGATTGGTTTTTATAAAAGGTCTTGTTGGACTGGTACATTTTGGTCCATTTCTCCCACAAATTATTGAATGGTTTCAGAAGACATATAGTGCATTAGTTGTATGGAGTAGTTTTATGATACTTTATGGTGCTTTTGTATGTGTGCGTGCGTGCGTGCGTGCGTGCGTGCGTGCGTGTGTGTGTGTGATTTTACCTGGAAACTGTATGTCCTAATTTATTTAATAAATGGAAAAGAGTAATAAAAGAGAATACATGGAAAATGGAAAACATTTTTGAAAGGCATGATTGTGAGTAAATAATGACAGAATTTTCATTTTTGGGTGAACTCTTCCTTTAGTAAAAAGGCCAAAAAAAGTTTCATCACAAAGTAATAATGTGAAATGCTGGCACTCAGTCACACTTACATTTTTGATGTAAGCTCCTTGTAAGCCGACTCGGAGTCGGCACTATCACATTTCTGCTTTGATATTTCTTGTCAGAACACAGCACAGTGTTAAACAGTACTAGTGCTTAGATGCTGGGGGGCAAACTGCTCTGCAATTACCTAGCAGGATATTGAGCAAGATTCAGAGCAGCGATGCACACTCTGGCATGGCACATGTAAGACACCACTTACAATTTTCTGCATCACATCAAAGACCTAGGGTTTGTACACCAGCATCTTGGTGACTAAGTCTTGTCTGATAGCTGTGACCTACTGTAAGAGGTTTGTAAAAGCTGGAGCGGGGGAACTGTGAGCGGACACCGCCGCCTCGGGGGATCTGTGAGCGGGCACCCCCGCCTCCGGGGAACTGTGAGCGGGCACCGCCGCCTCCGGGGAACTGTGAGTGGGCACCGCTGCC